TCTAGCATTAAAAAGGCCGTATCATCTACTAAAGTGCAAGAGATAAAAGATCTAAGTTAGCATCTTTCATCTTGGTTCTCTCATACTATTATCATCTTTTCGTCTCACACATTTTAAAGATATTGTAATTCTTAGTATTGCGCTCCTATGTCATCGCTGCCATTCCAACTTACATTGCATTGAATGACTTCCATGTTTTCACTTTCTATTTTTCTGGGTTGTTTTCCTGATAGATTGGCTTGTTCATTCTCAGTATTTTTGTTAGATGTGAAAGCGTGACATTTTCCCCCGTTCTTGTTGTCTCAAAAGAGACAGGCTGTATAGTTATGTCTCTGGGGAGTTTTCCTGATGCAAAGGTTCAGAAAAGTGGACCGTGTGTCCTTGGCTTTCCTTTCAGTCTCACAGACTCTGGTCACCCAAATGACAGTTCTGGTCTCTTAGGAAAGCTTTTCCTTCCCAGTGCTTAAAAGTCACAGAAATAACTTTCGACTGATGTTTGGTTCCTTGTTCCCTTTGAAGTATCTTTCCTGTTGATTCCTATTGGAGAATGGCTGATTGCCATCTAATAGTTACGATGCTTTGCAGGAAATACCAGGAGTAAAGCAGATTCTGCCCTGTGTTTCACAGCAGGCTTTGATCGTCTTCCTTATCCGATGTTATTACCAATGTTTGAGTCATGGGTGGATAGCTACAAGTGACACCTCAGTTTTGTCAACATGTGTCTTAAAATCCATGTCATAACTAGTGATTGTTTGAATGTAAACTGAATTTTAAGTGTGTCCCGACATTTCCTCCTCCTTTTTGCCTCTGTCCTGTCTCTCCTCCTCTCCTCCACCCCTATCCTGCTTTCTTAATTGAAAAAAGATTGTGGATATTATCTAGAGATTTAGAGGATAGATACTCAGAGCTCTTACTCTCCTAAACAACTACTTTTATTTTTTCATGTAATACTGTCTTTGCCTATGTATTAATGTGATTAAAATAATATTTGGAGTGATTCAAATTAAAGGCAGTTTGTAAATGTTAACATTCACAGATAATGTGCAGTAGGACTAGTTGTTGTATCCGATTGAGTATGAGAAACCTGATCCATCTTAAGTCTGGCTGCTTTGTCTAACTGCACAAAAAGTTTATTCAGATTGCTTAAAGAGAGAGGTTAAGGATACCTGCAAGTTAGTGCATGTTGACCTTGGGGGATGGTATCTTTTAGGATGGAAGCAACTAAATAATACCTATTATACTTGCTACGGTAGAGCACAGAGTGTGGAGGTTGGCTGGGAAGGGTCATGCTTGTGTTTCTTTCCTATCATTTCCTGATTCTGGGGTCAGGACAACAGACTTTCCCTTAATGGGCTTTAGTAAGGAAAACTGCAAAATCATAGGATGTCTTAAGAGCTGGGTTAAAACCATGCAAATGTTTGTAATCACAGAGACACGGATCACTATGTTTCCTTGTAACTCTTGCCACTCTCAGTATAAGAATGGCCTTCCACAGAAACCACGATGCTGTAACATATTACACGAGGAATTGCTGTAACGTATTACATGAGTCAAGCACTAACCTCCTTTAGTTTTCTAAATGTAACTTACTGCAGTGTGCTTAGCCAGGATGACGTGCTGGGGAATGACAGGACAGTGCTAAAGTTCTTCATTTTTGTTTGAATGCCCTTTCTGATGGTTCACAACATAGCCAGTTAGAATGTTGAAACCTTTACTCAACATTGAAACATGCCTTTGTCTATACCAGAATTGACAGCAACATCCTGAAAGTAACTTGTTTCTGGGCAAAGTAAAAAGTTGTGAAGGAGAACAAAAATGACAAAGTTATTTTCCTCTAAGGAAAATAGCCATTGATGTGTTATACTGTTTCCCAATCTTTTTTACCTGATATATAGATATTCTCATTTAATATGAATATTTTCTCGTGTGTGTCCTATTACCTTTTTAATTCAAATTTTGGAATACTTTATTAATTAAGTAATATCTTGAGAAAGATAAAAATAACTTCTTATAAAAGAGTGAAAATATTCTAAGTGCCATACATTATAAGCTAAAAACTTGATGTATAGAGAGACAGGCATCAGCACATCCAGTTGCCAAGGGTCTGCTTCTTTCTGCATGGAGAAGATGACAGTCTACACACCATCCTCAGGCACCCATGTAGAGTGATGGGGACATCATATCCTTTGGATTCAAGCCAAGCTGACTGCTCTGGTCCTACCAGTTTCACTCACCATGTGGCGCTGGTTACAATCATATAACCTTTCCGACTGCTGGAATGAACAGTGCCTACCACTCAGGGCTCCTCTAGGAAATGAGACAACGAATACAGTCAGTATGCCTGGCCCATTTTCTGGATGTGTTAGGCACAGGATAAATGATGGAAGAAACCTCAGATCTGTACTTATAAAATTTAAGCACACGTTGTAGAGAATATCTTACAACCATAATAAATCCAGACAACTCTTAAAATATTTATTTGTGTATTTATTGTTTTCTCTTCTACTTGCAAAAATATTACTGCCAAAAAGGGAATGGAAAATGATGAGAAAGCGGCCCTGCCTTGAATGTGCTCTCCCACAAAGTACAGCAGGCTCCAGCAATGCTCACTTCAGTCAAGAAGCCCTTCCTGAGGCCCATGACCAGCCGGGGATAGATGTTTGGGCTCACTGGGACATTCACATTCTAAGGATATATCATGTGGCGTTTAATGAGATGTAGGTTTGAAACAAATATTTTTACTGTACACTTAAAAATATCAGGATGTAAATAGCTTCAGTGAATCCATTTGTGGGTGGTAGGTTTGAAAGTATAAATTCTGAGTGCTTAAATTGTTTTGAGTGCTTAAATTGCTTTTAAACATACAGTTGTGGGGGGTGCATTTTTGTTCTGTCTTAAAAAGCAATGATACTGAATGTGGGAGTGGGAATGTAGTGAGGGCTTAGTTAGTGTGCACAGGTCCTAGGTTTGATCCCCAGAACCAAAAAAGCATAAGTGAGGGGGTGTGTGTAAAATAAGCAGCTTTGAGTCAGCTTTTTCATCTTTATTTTCAAATAAGACTGCGAAGTAAAAAGAATCCATTCATATCTAACCCTAATCCTGGAGGGTAAGAAATGGTAACACAGCTATGAAAGATATACATGTGTTATTGGGCGAGAAGAAACAGGGTCTCTCCAAGGAAATGATATTGTGCACATCTTTTAGGAGGACTTCCAGTCCACTGGCAGGAATACCTACTATCCAGACCTAGAAGCTGCCTCTGCTGGTCAGAGTGTATATGTATAGTTCAGTGCAGCACAGGACAGGAAGTAAGCTGTGTGGCTTGGGGAAGCTATGAAGAGAAGGGTGGAGAGTGAGCTTGGAGCCACTGGACGAGAACTAAGTTTCACTTTTTGAAAAAATAGCGTCATTATTTCTGCTTAAAGAAATACTGGGAATGTAATATAATGAGCAAAAGCAGAAAGACTAGCAGACCAGTCAATATAAAATACCAATCTCTGAAGCACAGAGAATTCATTCAAATGCATCCTTGCTGAAGCCAGGTCTTCTATAGGAAAGTGAGTGCAATCTGTTCTAGTCTATCCAGCTGGCAGAGTAAACTCTGCCACCCACAGCAGAAATGGATCAGCAGAACAAATGTTTGGGGATAGCGTTAAATCCTCAGCATGACTCACCTCCACAATGTTGAAGTTCGTCATGTCTCAACCACCAGTGCTCCCCAAGCTGCCACCAGTTACCACTGATTTGTATAAAGTTGATTTGCAGAGGTTACAGTTCATAAAAATGCCAAAGAATGCATATATTTGTAAAGTAAATATATGCATATTACACATTTTATATGTAGTTCTCTTTAAAACTAAGAATGGTGGCCAGGTGCTGTGGTGGGCCTCACACTCGGAATCCTCAAGTAAACAGAAGCAAAAGTTTAGACCTAGACTGTCACTGCGCTGTTTGCTCAGCACCGTCTCCTAGATTTTCTCATTAAATGGGGAGTTTGAAAGCCAGGATTCCAGACGCAGCCTTACCACGCTCTCCACATCTGCCTCATCTCAGACAGCGCCTCTTTCCTTGTCTAGTGTCGAGGCTCAGTTTCCTGCTCTCCCACATGAAAGAGTTGTCAAATGGGCTCCACAGATCGCACAAAGCCTCTTCAAGGGCCCCTCTGAAGGATGAAGGGCAACATCCCGCCCGTTCAAGCTATTCAAACGGCACCTTTGCTTTTATTTGCCTGACAGTTGGCCTGTAGCAAGACTTTGGAACAAAAAGATCCTAACACTTTAAACGTTTGAAAGTCAGTCACCGACCCAGACATTTCCTAAGGTCCTCTCCACTCAGAATGTCTCCACATCTATAAAATGGAGGTGACGGCTCTTGCTTAGGTGGCTGAAGGGTCATGAAGGCATTCTGTGTGAATGGAACATGTGAAACATGGGAGACATTTAATGTGTTAGCCAGCCGTTACTGTCCCCCACCCCGCCCAGCAGGTTTCACTCAAATAAGCCTGCATGTCCCATGACTATTATACTTTGAATGTTAAGTGATTACCTGACAAATGAGTAACCTGTCTCCTTTATGCCAGCAACAGCATAAAAATGTCTTGGACATTTACCTTGTGAACATAAAAGTTCATTCTGTGTTGTTTTGTTTTGTAGTGTGTGTGTGTGTGTGTGTGTGTGTGTGTGTGTGTGTGTGTGTGTGTGTGCGCGCGCACTGGAGGTCACAGGATGACCTGTAGGAGTCAGTTCTTTTTTTTCACCATGTGAGTCCTGGGGATCTTTGTCAAGTCCTCAGGCTTGGCAGTAACCACCTTTACCCACCACGCCCTACCTTGTGAATTTTCTTCCTATTTTTATTTCTACCTTTTATATATTACACACACACACACACACACACACACACACACACACACACACACACACACGAATTTTCCTCTATGTCGTATTTCTTTAAAGTACTTCTGACCATGCATTTATGAAAGTTAACAAGTCTGTGTGTTTCAGGCTTGCCAGCACGTGGGAAAGTGACATCAGCGTCCACCCTTTAACCCTGCCCTCTGCCACCTGCTTGGAGCTGCTGTTGATCCTGTCCAGGAGCAACGCCTCACTGCCGCTGTCCCTCCGCCAAATGAATTCCTTTCAGGTAAGGAAGAGCTCCTTAACTAAGATGTTTTTCAAGGATCCTGTCATGCACAGGAGATCAGCCATGAAGAGCCACAGCTTCAAATGACGATAATAAGTAGCACACTGCAATGTTCTCTTCAGTAAGTGAACACATGCAGCCTCGGAATTCAGGGACTCTCGAGCTTTGGCAGAACCCATAACTCTCTAACTCCAAGTCTTGCCCTAACCTCTGAAGGCTTCTCTAAGAGGCCTGCGCTTGACAACCATGGTGCTGACAGGTGTTGTCCTTCCTTGTTTCCCTCTCCTTGCTAAAAACTATTAGATTCCCTTCCTAAAGCTGGCCCCCAAGGTCTATTTCCTTATTTGGCCACTGACTCATTCCTGAGACAAAACACCAAGATCCAACAATCAAAATTCATTATTGGACTAACACGTCCAATCAGGATTTACCCACTCACTCTAACACAGATTCCCTCCTGTTCCTCCTTAAAAACCCACTCCTGCAAAAACACCTGCTTGCTGCTTGCTCCTGCTGCTGTTGCTGCCGCATGCTCAGCCCCCACCCTCTTTGCCCCTCCAGGAGGTAAATGTGATGTCTGGGTGTGTCCTGTACCAACTCCTAGGGGACCGACCTCTCTTACACCCTCATCTTCCCTTCCTCAAGAGAAATGGCAGGAAGATCTGGCCAAGAGGCCTGTGAATGCCACTTCCTCTCTCCAAACTTTGATTTAGAACAAAAACATCAAGTCATTTTTAGTGGCACTGTTCTAAGCTTGAAGTCAGATGCTGACCGAGTGTTCAGTGGGGATGAAGGACCCATGTTCTCAGCACCGTTCTCCCTCCTGAGCCCCTCCCTTAGCCCTTCTCCCCTCCGTGGATACTTATGTATACAATTCCCTGCTACTCATGTAGACTGAACAACAGGCATACCCCTTCCTTAGCAGCCAGCAAATTGTCACATGAGGTGGCCAAGGAGAATCAAGTAATGGCTTGTGTTGTGACCTAAAGCTACCGAGTAAAACTGAGTGTATCTCTCTGGTTTTTGACGATAGAAAAAGTACTCTTAAGCCCTTAGATGCTGGTGGGAGAGGCACACAGCGCCAAGAAGTGAGTGCGGGTAGAGTTGGCTGTTCTTGTGAAGGGAGGATCACTGATGGTCCTAGGACAGTGTCAAGATCTATAGATGTGACAGTGCTCCTTGGTTACATGGCAAAACAGGACGTGGAAAAAAAAAAATCAGGAAATGGGTCAAAAGGAGCTGTTCTGGTGTGATTCTCTAGGGAATCTGTTCTATCAGTCATCTCTGTGATTTGCTTCCTTTGTCTGAACCTTGGGCGCTAACAAAATTTTAGACTCTGGCTTCTGCGTACCTGTGTTTCTGGTGTTAACTGACCTCAGTCCTAGACTCCCAGAGGGGCTTTAAAGCATACCCTCTCCTGCAAGAGGGAAACCGAGCCAGAAGGCCTCAGGCCTGCTGAAGACCAGACTAAAGCTGTCCTCCCCCAACCCCCGACTTGACTAGGAGCTGGCTGAGGGGCTGTTAGTGGCATGACTGTAGAGAGAGGTAGGGTGTATCTACCAGGGTGTCCACACACACTCTCTCTCTCTTGTTTTGCAGTACTATAAAAACTTTTATTTGTATCCCACATTGACCCAGAAGTGATTTAAAATTCTGTAATCAGTCCGTGTAATGAGTGATACAAACATTTATATATGAGCACATCCTTTTATGGAGAGAGGTATAAGAAACTTGGCAGCCATTATTTCAGGGGAGCAGCATTTATATTTTATTCTCTTTTCTCTCTTATGTACCGTTTGAGGTGTTTACATCAGGTGATGGTCCCCACTTGTGGATTTTATGGCATGTTGGGGGCGGGGGATAGGACAGTCTTTCGTGTATGAGGTAAACTGAGAATCACCTGAGGTCTTAAAGAGCTTGGAGGTACTGGAGTCATCTAAATAGAAGATGAGAGATTTGAGAGAGGAAACGGGTACTTTCTCTACTTCCACCCTTGAAGGGGGACATCTCAGCATCCTATAAACACAGATGCAGGGAAGGGCATCATGCCACCAGTGGCACCAGTATGCCTTCCACATCCCTAATGAGAGGAGTCCCCAGAGTTGTCAGATCCTCAGTGGCCGGGTCCCTGCCGTGGCCACCCTACTTCTGGTTCCTCTCCTTTGCAGAGTGACTGTCACAGAACATGACAACATGTCACAGAACATTGGCAGAATCTTACAAACAATGTCTCCCCAAGTCTCATCCCCGTCCTTACCCCAGGAAAGATGGATGATGTATTCTTACCAGGAGCATTCTGGGAATGGCTCTTTTCAGCAGGCCTTTTACTCCACATGAAGCGTCAGAAGAAACAGAGACGGCTCTGGCGGCGCTGGAGAGAAATATTCTCCATTTCATCTGTGTAACACCTACTTAGTCATCTCTGATAATTGAGAGAAGAGCCACCAGTTCTGCTTGCATTTGAGATTGGTTTTAATTGGAAATTCACTTTCCCACACATCCGCTCTAAGAGCTGTTTGAGCAAGAGCTGTAAAGTAAAGCGTCACTGGTTATGACGCCTCTCCTTACCGTCCAGTCCTCTTACTTCCCAGGCTGAGGTAGTGACTGTGAGCTGAGCTGAATTCTCTCTCTCTTCGGTATAACTTCTCTCTTTTGGTGCAAATGTTATAATTCTAGCTTCGCCTCTGCTCTGTGACAGCCCTTTGCTCTCCCCCAGCGTGATTATCTGCAAGCAGAAGGCATTGAGAACCACTGTACTTTAGTTATTATGGAGGACTCAAGAAGAAGATGGGCGTAACCACTCCCTACTTAGAATTCTCCCATGGCTTCCTGTTGATAAAAAGGGACACAAGCTGTTACAACAAGCTGGTTCTGGCCACAGCATCAGTGTACTGGTTTTTGGGTTTTTTTTTTGTTTGTTTGTTTTTCTGCTATTAGGAGAGTACTCTGTGCCAGGTCTTTTAGCATGGCTAGTTCTCTCTGGCTTTCTCTGGTCTCAGCTCATGTGTCCCCTCCCACAAGGGCTTAACCTGACTCCCTCCATGAGTTCCCTTCTCCCCATCACCATTATTTTTTAACCACGCTGCCCTGTGAAATGATTGTATTCATTTGACTTCTCCCTCTACTAAAATGTGTGCTGAGTGAGGGCAGGGGGTGTTATGGTATGAATTTAAAACAGCCTTAGAGGCTCATGACTTTAACATTGGGTGTCTAGCTTGTCATGCTGTTTTGGAGTCTCTCTCTTTTTTTTTTTTTTTTGTTTTTTTTTTTTTGAGACATGGTTTCTCTGTGTAGCTTTGCACCTGTCCTGGATCTCACTCTGTAGACCAGGCTGGCCTTGAACTCACAAAGATCCTCCTGGCTCTGTCTCCCAAGTGCTGGGATTAAAGGTGAGTGCTGGGATTAAAGCCCTGCACTACCACCCATGGCTTGGCTGTTTTGGAGCCTTTTCAGAGGAACTGGCTTAGCAACAGTAGGCTGTTGGGGGCAGGCCTTTGAAGGCTATGCCTGCCCCTGGTTGTAGCTTGCATTCTCTACTTCCTATCTGCTGAGCTATAAACAGCTTGCTACTACACTCTCCCGCCGACCTGAGCCCAGCCATGCCTTCCCTACTGTGATGGACTGAGCCGTCTCACTGTGAGCCAAGGTAAATCTTCCCTTATGATTGTCATTTCTATTGGGTATTTTGTCATAGTGATGAGGAAAGTAATTAATACAAGAGGAATATGTGTTTTGTTCAGTTTTGTATCAGCAAAACATAGAACCTGGATGTACAAAGCAGTTAAAAAAATACTGGATGGGTGGATGGATGCACAAGTAACATGCAAGTTGGCATGGGCATAGGATAGTCTAGAAATCAAGAAGACTGGCCTAGAGGGAAGCAGAGCATGAGTAGTATGTATCCAAGGTAGCAACAGCATTCTGTTCTCTGCTTGCTTAGAACTGGACTCAGCATTAGATTCAGGTTTGAGGTTTGTCAACCAGGCTGAGTACCGATGGACATCTGCATTGAAATTGCAGCCTGGAGCTTTGTTCAAATGAGGAAAACATGAAGAGTTCAGTCTGCAGAAGGAGCTGGTTAGGGGCCAGTGGTAGTGGGCACACCTTTAATCCCAAGCAAGGCAGAGGCAGGCAGATCTCTGTGAGTTCGAGGCCAGCCTAGTCTACAAAGTTAATTCCAGGACAGCCAGGACTATTACACAGAGAAACCTTGTCTCAAAAAAAAAAACCAAACAAAAAACAAACAAACAAACAAACAAAAAGGATAGAGTCTCTCATTGGATTGGAGCTCAACAAATAGGCTGAATGGCCAGTGAGCACCAGAGGTTCTCCTGTATGCTGCCTCCCAGGTCTGAAAGTACAAGCACACACCACTATGCCCAGCTTTTACATGTGGGTTCTGGAGATCAAACTCGGATCCTCATGATTATGTGGCAATCACTTTACCAACTGAACTATATCCCCAAACAGGAGGGGTTTCCTATCCTTGCATTCCATTGGGAAATAGATTCTACAAGATATTATTAGGTCTTATAAATATAATTTGACATTAATCATGTAATACTAATATATCTAGGTGCTGTTTCAATGGTTTGCATTCATTAGCTCATTTCAGTTTCAAAGCAGCACTCTTTGGAGGGCATATTGTTCTTCCTGCTTCATAAGGCGGAAGCTGAGCCAGAGAGATGACCTTGACCGGCCCACTGAGGTAGTAATGGAGGCACACATAGTGCCACGCCTTGCTCTGCAACTCCCCACTCTTAACCCCTAGATGATGTTGCCTCTGGTCAGTTTTAGTTATACACGTATGTTTTTAAACAAAAAGATTACTTAAGACCTTTCATGTGCTTCAGTGTGACCTAGTTAGTTGAGGACTTTAAGAAATATTATTTCCCATAGGTACTTGGCATCAGGGATCCCTTTTTCTAGAGTCATTTGTGTGCTGTCTTTAAAGGTTTTGATGGCTGTGGCAGAGTAGCCTCTGCACATTTTTACAGGCT